CACTACTTACAACAATAGCTATAAAGCCATTGAAAAAGTCTTAAACAAAAATTGGCACATCCTACTCAAAGACCCAAAGTTAGGACCCTCCCTGCCAAATAGACCATTTATAAATTTCAAGAAGAACAAAAGCATCAAGAACCTCATTGCACCAAGCAAATTGCTTAAAAAAACAGAAAACAACACAAAAAATTTTCCTGTTTGACAACAGAGTAGGGACATTCCGGTGTAAAAAGCTGAAGTGTCTCACCTGTCAATTCATCCACCATGGCCAATCATCATTCAGGGATCATAGCAATAATGTTTACAACATAAGACAGTTCATCACATGTACACACGATCACGTTGTATATGGACTAAAATGCCCTTGTGGGTTGATGTACGTTGGACGCACTATACGACCGTTACGGAAACGCATTGGAGAACATCGGCGTTTCATTGAAAAGGGTGATACTGAACACAGTGTGCCACGGCACTTCACTGCCAAACACCACAAAAACATCCACGCCCTTCAAGTGTTCGCCATAGAACATATACCCATTCACCTCACACCCTCAGAGCGCTACAAACGCCTATGCCATAGAGAAACTTATTGGATATACAAACTGAATACCCTAACACCCATGGGACTAAATGAAGATTTGGAGATACTAACCATCCTCTAAAATAAAATTGAATTTAAAATATACGCAAAATACATTATACTGCCTTCACAAGAGCCCCCCCCCCCTTTTCCTCCCCTTCTGGGCCCCGGTCCGAATAGACCTTCCCTTATATGTGATTCCATGGTATTCTCGTATCCCCAATGGAACCCTATATCTAAACACATATTTTCTAAACAATAACTGTGTATGGAGCAGACAATATCCAGTCACCCCACCGCTCATAGTAACAGCACAATTGTCCATGACCCTATAGAGTGCCCCCTTCCCTAACCTTTTCATTCAACAGACCAAGCCCCCACCTACGATCTCAGACCACATAAAAACACACACAGAGGAGACTTTCCCCACATCAGCGGCTCCTAGTCACAAGCATTGAATCCATTGACCAATCACATCTCTTCTGGATCGGAAACCATGCCCACCTGTCATTGTTTAAACCGCTGCTTTTCCCGCCCGCACTAGCAAACCACTTCGGGCTTGACAAAGAGGTCTTGAACCTCGAAACGCGTAGCCAATCCTCCACTCTACGGACCGCAGTGCCCGTCAGCATTGAGCCCATTCCTAAGACCATTTCAGCACGATCGCTCATCCACAAGATACCGCTATACAGCGGCACCTCTGCTCCCGTTCAGTCGACGAGTGGCAGCCTGGCCAGCTGCGCTCTCATTGCACCTGGCGGTGAGTGTCACGGCAAGCGGCATAGTTTACCTTGCCTAATGGACCCTTTAGCTACACTAATCACCAATAAATAACTATAGACTGACCCAGAATCATGTAGTCCATTCTCCACACTCACACAAACCAGCCACAGATGCGGTTCAGCACTTCATGCCGACAAACTGTTTTTAATTCTCCAATGTGAAGACTCCAGCCCGTCCATCCAAAACCCGTCTTCTATACCCACACGGACCGGTCAGAGGTACTCCTGAGCAATCTACTCAACTGTAAGACCTCATCCTGTCCTCCCAAACAGTGAGTTTTCATTTTTATATTGCTTCTAAAGGTTTTATCCATACCATCCCAGCAAATCCTAGAGTTGCAGCGCTTCTTTCCACACTTTCTTTTTTCCTAAACCTTGTTGACAGCCTTCCCAGAAGAGCTAAAGCTGTTATAGCGGCAAATTGTGGACCAACTCAATATTGAACCATACAGTCTAAGACTGGGATGCCATTAAAGTTCATGTGCGTGTAAAGGCAGGCGTCCTAATACTTTTGCCAATATAGTATATATACACTGAGTGGCCAGATTATTATGACCACCTGACATTTGTAGGCAAATAGCTATAATTTCACGCTGAAGTTGCTAGAGGGCCAGACGATTATAAATAGGGAAGCAGGTTGTTTACCACGATAGTAGAAGTGATTTTTTTCTGAAGATATGGGTAAGCAACGCGATTTAACAACCTTTGAACGTGGGATGATTTTTGGCGCAGAGCCATGGAGCGAGTATCAGCAAAACAGCAGAATTCGTTAAATGTTCAAGAGCAGCTGTTGTTAAAGTGTTTAAAGACTGGACTGTCAGCCGAAAATCTGGGTCTGAACGTGCCAATTGTTGCCGTCAGCGACTAGTCAATGTTAGGGCAGAACGGAGAGTGGCAAGACTGGTACAAGACAACAGAAGGACAACAGTGTAGTATCAGATTCCTCGCATCACCTTTCAACATCTCGTAGAGTCACGAGGCGGCCTAACAAAGTCATTTCGTGGAGACATCTCGTGGCCCAACAAAGCACTGAATATATATAAATATTATATATAGTGCCCGAGTTAAGGTGGATGACTTATAAACTATAAACAAAATAAACATACTTGTTTTGTTTTGATATTCAGATAAACTTCTCAACTTCCCTCTTCCCCGTCTTCCCTTTCCTTCCCTCAAATTCTAGATTTGTTTTTTTTTTTACTGTAATCTTTATATTTACTGACTTATGTTGGAGAGTATAGTAACTTGTTCTGTTACTACTTGGACCATAGTAAAGGAGTGGGCAGAGTAGGTGGAATCTGCAACTAGTTTGCTAAACCTGTGTAAAAACACTCCCTCAAACAATTCTCTGTGCTTCCAATTTCATCCTGACCTATAATAAGGCTCCATTCACACATAGCTGTAGCGTTTTCTGTGCGTTTTACACATTTTACTATTACTATAGCCGGAACGTGCGGAATCCGCCCATAGAATTGCACTTGGACTATTTTTCGGGATGCGCGGTTCCGTACATGTGCGGCTGCCGCAATAGTCTGAACAATGAACATGGCAACGCATTGTTTTTTATGTTCATTTGAAGGCTTATAAGATTGCATGAGAGCTGACATAAAAACACTGGAAACTGTGACAGTTATTACCAGAGGCATGCCTTGAATGTAGCATTCACTGCGCACGCACTAGTAAACAGAATGTATATGAAAACATTGATTAGAATATTGTAACATCTACTGAACCTTTCTAATGTTCTTTTCTTTTAGGAAACAGTTAAATTGGTGGGTTCAGCTCTGCTTTAAAGGAGAACTATGGGGGTCAGTGTTTTTCCCCATAGTTCTCCTTAGGGTAACGGGAGGACACAAACTAGCGTCCTCCTGTTACCCTAAGCTCAGTACCCCTGTCACGGTAGAGAGCTGTGACAGGATCAAGAGGTGAGCGAACGCCGGTATCTGTTCGCTCACCTCCCGATCTACTGAGCCGACCTGTGACAGTCTCATTGTCACAGGTCGGCTAGAACTAACCTGGCTAGTAGCTCAGGACTTGAAATTTTGAGCCTTGTCATAGTACTCTTTTAAGTACAGCTGATGATGGTTTATAACAGAAAACGATTCCACCGTATCACTAGATTTAAAGTTGAACTCTGAGAAGCTGTCCCCCCACCCTTGCAAATCTGCCAACAAATTGCTGAGTTTGTTTAAAAAAAGCCTAAGCTAAAACCACCCTTACCTAAATCTATGGTTATGTGGTGCTCTGGGTTCCGAGTCTTCTCTCTTTTTCATGAAAGAAGAGCATAAATATTGTTAACCTTTGCAGTGGGGCTACTCCTGCACTGCAAGGGTTAAGTGCTTGTTTTCATCTGAAAATAAAAAAGTTATACACACCTGAACCTCGCAGCCGGCTAGCTACTAGACCGCTCCCTGCTACTTTTCCCCATCTCCTCTGCTTCAGTGGTATAAAGTCCTGTAAGTCATCACGTCCTATACAGTGTATAGGACGTGAGAACATCAAGGTACATTCTAGCACTGGAGCAGAGGAGGAGATAGGTGGCAAGGAGCAGTAGCAGCCACTTGCCTATACGTTTCAGGTGGGTATTACTTTTATTTTCATCCCTAGATGTAGGGTTATCCCTACTGCATGGGTTAAGAATAATTATGCCCAGAGTTCATCTTTAAGGAGGGTCCTTCTTCAGGTAACAACAATGCTGATTGGGTGACATGGGCACTTCCTATTGACAATCCAGCGACGGGGTACTCTCTGGTGGCACAGCATGATGATGTCACAAAGAGGTGACCCATCAGTGAGGGCACAGACTGCTGCACTGGCTCGCTGATCATCATTCCCAAAAGCAGCTCCGGCGAGAGACACAAGCGGCAGAATTAGGTAAAAAAATCTAATAAAAAAAACAAATCATGTAACTATGTAAATCATATAACTATGCAGAACCTTATTAAATATAGTGCGTAGCAAAGTCCTTTAAAAGGTTCTTCCTATTAAAATTATTGTAAACAATAGTACAGAGTCGATGCATATGGAAACATGTTATACCTGGCCTATAGGCACCTATATGCTTTTGTCTGGACAGTTAAAATCTTAAGTGAAACATCAAAAAGGTTTAAATTAAGGTGCCTGAAGGCCCAAAGGTTACATGACTTCAAGAAGAAAGATAAGAATCAGTAGACAGTAGACATAGTTGTAATCTAAAATGCTCAGAAAGATCTCAATCCAGAAAGATCAGAGCTTTGCCTAGCTGTTGTGTTTGCCACCAAAGAATTACTTAGCACTTGTTATACAGGTTATACGCACTTGTTATACAGGTTATACGCTCAAATTAGTTTCTATGTCCTTTATTTCTGGGAAAAGCACAAATGTATGATTCTCCTTAGCGTATCATTTTACTGTTTCACATAGAAAAGTATTTTGACACAACCATGCAATCATTTTTCTAGATCTAACTAAAATAGTTCATTTGCAAGCTGAATGACAGACTTCTGTGGTCACTGTAACTGACAAATCATATAAAAAAAAGCTCCCATATCATTCAATCATTAAGGACAGAGGTAAAGTAACGGACACATAATGTGCAACATCTTTTTAATATCATATGCAGTACATCCTAAAATAATATCAAAAGTTATACTTACTATTATATACTGATATGGATCTATGGATGCCATTGGGAGAGATTAGAGTTCCAGTCCTACAGGAATACTACTTTTTCCTAAGTTAATAAACAAGCATGAAAGATGATCTGGGTTAGTAAGATGGCATGAATACATTTTAATAATTCATAACAAGTACACAATTAATAAAATAATGTATCTTACATGCAGTGGCGTAGCAATATATCTTGCTGCACTCCTTACCAGATAGTAATGAAAACCTGTCTAGTCCAGGTGGGTGCTTGCACTGACCACGGATGGCACCGTGCAATAACATGAAGTCCAAGAACGTCACCAGCACTCCAGTGTAACGTGAAAAAAGATCAATTTAATGACACATATATTTGTCATACAATGCAAGCGCTTTCGGGGCCTCACAGGGTCCCCTTCATCAGGCTCAGAATGACGAGCCTGATGAAGGGGACCCTGTGAGGCCCCGAAAGCGCTTGCATTGTATGACAAATATGTGTCATTAAATTGATCTTTTTTCACGTTACATTGGAGTGCTGGTGACGTTCGTGGACTTCATGTTACATGCAGTGACTGACAGTCATTTTGGTGTCACCCCCTCTAAAAAGTGGAGCACTCTGTCATGGACCGAGAGCCCGACAGTGTCAGGAGAGAGGAGGGGCCCCCGGGGCATACCTCATCCCGCCGGGCGAACAACCCCTCCTCTCTGTGCCAGCAGCCATTACCAAGATGGCCGACAGGTGTCAATTAGATGACCGCCTTCGCGCATGTGCTGTGACGTCACGGCGGGGTGTCACCCGGCCTCCGCTCCTCGGAGCAAGACATTATGATTTTGCGTATACTGCCCACTATATTTTGTACTACAGCAAGTACAGTGGAACCAATTTGTAACATCAGTAATTACAGCTCACAGAAAAAGCACTAAAGTTGTTCAAATCCATTACTCAGAAATTCAGCTCACCCTGCTCCCCTCTCCAAAAACCACCTGCTCTGCATTTACATTAGAGATTAGAAGGTATGCTAAATCACTGCTGGGAGGTAGAGCAGCGTGAGCTGAGCTGCTGAATGAATGACTTTAGTGTTTCTGCTGTGAAATTTGAGGAAGAATTTCTCCACAGTACCTGAAGCTACAGAGGTCAGTGATGGCTCATTCACTCCATGTTTAGTATATGCAAATGCTTGAAACTCCATAGCCTGGCAACAGGATCACAGAAAGTGTATTTAACGTGTATGTAAAACCCTGCCTTTATTTTCTCCCTTTTGGTCTGTTTTATTTAAAACAGAAAACAGTTTGCTATGTCTGTTCAATAAGTGCACAAATATACCTCTTGACATTGCCAGAAATCATGTGAGTTAATAGCGTCCCATGCTCTCTGTCTGTGCTGCACTCTTTTCAGTTACATTGCTCCCAGTGATCTCTGTGAAGTACAATTTTCTCCTCCCCATGTTATGAAGATTTAAAGAGGAGGAGGTGTTTTGTAGACCTGCCCTAGGGTGACAAAGCTGTTTCTCCATGGATATAGTATGGTGAGGATAGGAGTGTGTTGCTGACAGGATAAACATATGAAAATAAAGGCAAAAAAGCAGAGAAAAAAGTATTGCACCCTTCATATTTAAATACTGGTAATCTGCAATATATCACATTTTTGTTCTTGGGTTTATTTACACTTTAAGCCTAGATTTCAGATTGACATAGTGAACCTCAGTTCTATACATACGATAATGTACTCCCACCTTTTCTACATGTCTGCTATTCAATTTTGTTAACATAAGAGCATAATATGCAATTTAATGTGAATACCGTTATCTTGCTTTTGTTTTGTTAATAAAAAAAAAACTAGCAAACATGTGTCCATTCCTACATGGGTAAAGCTGGAGATATTACAATGTTAAAAAACTTTTTCCTTGTGTACGATGCATAGTAGAGTAGTGCTGAGGGCATGACAGTGGGCAGAATGTGAAGAGGCTATGACAGCAGGTAGTATACGGTAGTATACGGTATGAAGGAGATAAGTGTGGAGTGCATAATATTGGCAATCTGTGCAGTAGAGAAGTTCAGAGGATATTACAGTGGGCAGTATGTGAGGAGTGCACAAGGTATGACAGCAGTATGTGCTGAAGAGTGCAAAGGGTATGATAGCACCTACAGGCACTGTCAGTGTCACTGAAATGGTGGATACATGAGAACCAGATGCACACACCATTTCAGTAACACTGACAGTGGTTGTAGGGGGTAGCCAGAGAAACTGACAGTGCACCTAGCTGCCACTAACAGGCACGGTCAGTGTCACTGCAATGGTGGATAGGTGGGAACCAGGTGCAAACCCCATTTCATGGAAATTGATAGTGCCTGTATTTGGCAGCGCACACCTTTCCAGAGACATTGACCGTGCACCTGTTCTGGTGCCTGTATGTACCTACATATACATTAAAAGGAGAACTATGGGGTCAGTGCTTTTCCCCATTGTTCTCCTGAGGTTAAAGGGAGGACACAAACTAGCCTCCTCCCGTCACCCAAAGCTCAGTATACCGCGAGCTACAGCTCGTGGTATGCTGAGACACCGCAGCCGGAACGGATCCCGACAATGCTGTCTGGATCCACCTAGCTGCGTGAGTGACAGCTGGCTCTGCCTATCTAGAGGCAGAGCCAGCTGTACCCACCCCCTCCCCCGTCCGCTCCCCAGTCAGCGCTAGAGGATCGGACAGGGGATGGGGGGAATCCCTGCAGAGAGCCGTGAGTGACAGTCACGGCTCTCTGCACGGATAGATCGAGAAGTGAGCGAGCGACGGTATGTATATAGACTCTTGTTTTCCCAAACATTTTTTGGGCACATATGTGATGCGCACTTGACATGCACCAAATAAACAACTTAGTGCCCCAATGTGGAAGGTGATTTGCGACATGTGCGTCAGAAACTTGAAAACCCACAAATAGCACCCTATAAACAATGTAGCACAGATATAAGCCACAGAACTCCGCCAGTTGCAGATTTGCAGAGTAAGCTGCCTTCTCCATCCCTACTCCCTCTGCCTATCTGAGCAGAGGAGGCGAGTCATCTGTCAGGTTCCCTTTAATGAGTGTGCAGACAGGCTACTCTACTGCCTGTACTATTCTATTCCCATGATAATCACTTCCTGATCGAGGGGGAGAGTGATGAAGAAATAAAGTGAGTGGTCACTGTGCACTATGCGCCTGGTAAACAGAGGTCCCTGAAGCAGCTTTGTTTAATAGGGACACTGTGCACTATGATGCACACAAATATACATGACGCAGTGTAGGACAGTGCAGGACACTGCATCATGTATAGTTTATTGGGCCCAATGTTATAACTGCTGGTGCTATGCTATTGTTAAAACTTTTAAACAGTCTAAACCTTTTCTTTGAAGCCTACAGACAATGATCATAAAATATATGGGCAGGCAAAACCAATAAAAAACCCCCTCAAAGAGCCGACAGTATATCAAACATGTAGCAGGTATGGCTGTCCTATATTTTTAATATCCTTATTCAGCCTGTGAATAAACCTAACTAAAGCATTTTATTCCTTCAACAGTACTTAAACACCCACTTATAGGTGCTGCCTAAAGGTCTGTCACAAAGCCAGTGCCAACATATTGTTCTCCAGGTCTACTCACGCCTTTAAAAGTGATTCCAGGTTTTCGTTCTCAAGAGTTGCTTCTTTCTTAACAAATGGATGCCAGCTGTTTTCTTTTTTTTTTTTTTTTTATAAACCAACCAGTATCATCTTCTCCTATATAAATAGAAAAAAAAATCCTTAAATTAGATGCTGCAGTATTTCCTTAATAGTACCAGATATCACCAGATGCACAAATTTCAGTCCTGCACCACATGCCAGCTTGTAAATGCATATATAATTTTCTCAGGGGATCACCTAGGAGGAAAATCAGCTCATTAATATACAAATGTCCAGTACCAAGATTCAAGAAAATTATAAGTTGTCTACATAATGCTACATACAGTATGTACCTTTTAAAAAAAATCTCTCTACTGTTTGTTGAAAATGCAGATCTAAAGTTTGATCCATGAGGTATTTTTGGTGACTCTGCTCCCAACTACAGGGATGCTCATCAGTAATACTAACACAATTTTAACCTCAGTCCCTTCTATTCTCTGCATTTGGAAATTCTTCACACACCAAGTCATTTCTTTTAAACACTGTAAAATAAATTCTGCTTACACAATTAATGTCATCAAATACCTCATCCCTCTTTGCTAGGAGAAATATGTTACTCCCCTTGTATAATTGTAGATAAAGAGAGTAGATCAAACAGCTGCAAGGGAATAAATTATATTACCAGGTTAGAATAAATTATCCCAAAACTATGCATGCTTGGATAGAATTCAAAGTTCTTGCGTTTAAAAATAAAGAATATGGCGAACACATTCACAGGCGAGAGTGTCTCAGTCCTCTTTTTCACCTTTGTCCACCAGTCTTCTACATTTCTTATTTCTGTTTACCTCCTTTATGTATTCTTTTTTATATATTTTGTTCTTGGATATTTTTTTTCTGTGCACCGCTCCACTAACTGCCATTACAACCATGCTCTTCTGCAATGTACCAATGCAATTCTGCACTAACCGCCACCGCACCTTTGCAATTCTCTACCGATTACCACTGTATCCATGCAGTTTTTCACTGACTGCCAATGTCACGCTGTACACAGCATACTTCTCCACTGATCGGCACCACATCAAGTTGCTTCTCAAAGTACTGCACTGGCGCATTTCTCTACTGACTTTCACCGCAGCCACAAATTTCTCCACTGACCATTAATGGACCTGTGCATTTTTCCGATTGATCACCCACATACTTCACTGACCGCCAATGCAATTCTCCACTGACTGACAACAAACATGCTAATTATGGTAATACATATAAATTCAGTCCAAGGATATACAATAACTGGATAAAATAACCGATAACATCATATGTATTTTAATTTATGACAACCTTTAAAGATTATGTAAACTCAGCAATTACAACCATATGGCAATAGGCTACATCATATGGTGATAGGTTATAACAACTGATAACCGCAGTGCACCTAATATTGCAACATGCAGTGG